CTTTAGCATAAACAAAGACTTTGTAATAATGGCTTCCCCATCTCTCCTTCCTTCTGACGCCATGTACGTCCTTTACATCCAATGGGAAAAACTGATCTCCTGCAGAGACTTTGGAAGACACAGAAGAGGCTCCTCTTCCCCTCCTGAGCCTCACCTGAGACCAGGTGGCCTTAACGTGGCTGTTGGAGGTTTCATTCACATTTTCTACAGTTCCTCCTTTTTGCTGCAACAAAGGACTTCCTTTAACTAGGCCACCCATTAATGATCAGATACTTTTATCCTTTCTTGCCACACAAACTCTTTTCTCCTATCCATAATATTCTTTGCCTGTTTCTGCTTCATAATCAATGTAGGCAGTTTTATTAGTTCCAGGACCTAATTTAACATCAAAAGAATCAGACCACCTCTCTGGTGTGTGAATGACTGGCAGACCTGATTCAGGAAGGATGTATTTTATAGAACCAGGTTTTCTGTCTGCCAGCATTGCTGCCTTAAATGCAGGGAGAGCTAAAGGAAACCACGGTGGGTACAAAAGCAGCAGTAAAGAGTTCTTTGTGCCAGATTCCCCAAAGTGTGCCTGTAAAAATATTTCCTAAGGCAGCTCTCCATCACTGCTCGTGTTAAACCTTTTAAGTCCATGTGTAATCTGGTAAATCTTATTCATCCAGATAGATGGATTGGAATGAGAACTCACCCTGCGAGGAAAGACTGGCCTGGAGAAGATAACAGTTCTTATTTGTCATCCTCTGTTATTGTAACCATATTACAGGGGATAATGAAGTGCAAGGGACAGCAATTAGTTGGTAGCAGCACAAGTGATAAGCACAGCACCAGGACTTTCATATACTGTGGTGTGCAACGCAGCCTATTGATTTAACGGCGGGTTTTCTCCCTTTCACTCTCCAGTAAAAAACAGCACAGAGATTTATGTGAGCAGCACTGCTTTGGAATACAGATCAGGCTGGAGAAAGGCTGGTGTGAATCTTTGGATGCTCACAGTTTAAAAAAGCCCAGCCTAGGTTAATTGATAACGTGCTTTCCAAAGGGGCTGGGTGCCGTGTGGTCCCCGTAGGGCTCCTTGGCTTTGTTCCTCACACCTGAGTGCTGATTAATCTGCCTTTTAACTGTGCCTGCGTGGAGCCACACATGCTTGGAGCCACCAGCAATGTGTCTCTCTCCAGGCCTCTCCGAACTGGGTCACCCTTCAGCTATTGGTTAGTGGGAAATTATTCCCTTTGAGATTCCCAAACCACTCCATGGGGCTGACTATTGTCATGTTCTGGCACTGAGATTGTAGAACAGATTATGGGCAATCTGTCAGTTCAGGCTGTTCAAGGAGAGATGAAAAATCAGACACGTGTTGCTCTCACACACTGAGCAATTCAAACAAAGACAACAGAAAAAATATTTTTCTCCATTTATCATTCCATTACTATTTGCTATTATAATATGGCAAGCAAAGCACAAAGTGCACCTTGAATAAAGAGTTCTAATGATGTATAGCCCTTCACATTATCAAAATGTTCCTGTGGATCTCAGTGGAGAATAATTTCAGGTGTCTTGAGTCAGTTTTGATGTTCAGCAGCTTCCACAGACCCTGTGGATACTGAGCCCTATCCCAAAAATCACCTTTGGTTACTCCGAGGAACACACTTCACTTTTCAGGGCTGAGGTCAATCAACTATGTGGTGATGATACATTTAGATTAGTTTGTAATTAATGTTTCCTGGCACAATTTTAAACTTGAAAATGAGAATCCAGAAGAATTTCTTGTTGATCATGGAGGGGATTTTAAGATCAGTTGAAAACATGGCCTTTGAATACAACCAGGCCACCAACATTGTAGGAATTCTTGTATGGACTTGCAGAAGTGTCCAAGGCCAGGTTGGATGGGGCTTGGGGCAACCTGGGATCCTGGAAGGTCCCTTCCCTTCCAAAGCATTTTCAATTCCTTCCTCTCTGACCTTGAATTATGTAACATAATGAGTTGCAGGCTCTGCCTTGAGCAGGGTATGGCTTTTTTTGGCTTTGTCTCCGCTAAATAATCATCTACCAGTGAACATGTTTAATATTGTCACCTAATATTGTAGGTTAAAAAGAGAATTGCATTGGAAATTTCATTCTGGTAAACAAGCAATGAGATGAAAAATGCCACAAAAAACAACTCCAGTCACTGCAATGCTTAATGTTTTCTGGTCTTGGTTTTATATCAGCTTCCTATTACAACTACAAAGGCAGAACCCCAATGTTGATGTAATTAGAAGACATATAAGCAAATTAAGCATTGAACAAATATTTCAGAGCTTAGAATAAACAATCCTAATAACCTTTTTGGCCATTAAAGAAGCCTATTTTTTATTCTAAATAAAGGACATTCTGGCAAGGATGAGAAAATTGTGGGGAATGTGAGTTAGTGGGATGTTTTACTGCGGGGCAAGAATTCCCTCCCAGCCCTGGCCCTGGTTTAGATGGTTTCTCATGCTGTCTGTTGGCCAGGGCAGTCACTGGCTGGATCCTCAGCCCTTAGATTAAACCAGAAAACAGCCCCCCCATGGATGCTGCACCCCCTGTGCCCTCAGGCAAGTTGTAGGAGTAATGATCCAAAAGGGTTTAGGAGTTTTATTGCAGCAGGGAGGCAGCAGGGGTCAAATCTGTACCAGAAAACCTATAACTAAGTCTGTAATTCTTTTATGGGCAAAGCTGCAGGGATTTCTGCTTGATTAAGGATTGCATGATTGAGGCCAGTGACATTAACAGGCACAATGTCCCCTCTGCATCTAAAATAGTGATCAAACATGACAGGAAAAGCCATGTAATAGCAAAATCCCAACACTTTCTTGCCGGTAAGAGTGGCTGCATGCTTCCCATCCTTCCCAGCTCTATAAATGGGATTTATTTCTTTTTTTTTCTGCCATTAAAAGCAATTTTTGGAACTTCCCTGTTGTATTTAATGCATACCTCTTGCCTGTCCAGGCTCCACGCTTCCCCAGCTTTGTTTTGAGGCTACGTGATCAATAAATGTCACTGCTGAAGTGCTTTGCCAGTTCAGGTATCAGAAATGAAAGCAGAAGCTTCAGCTCTCTTTTACTGGTTGTGACAAATTGATTCTTTTTGGTCTACCTTGCATTTCTCTCACTTCATGTGTCTGAAGAGAGGGGGATTTCTCACAGCACCTGCTGCTGGGCCAACCTGAACTCCAAGATCCTTCAAAGATTTGTTATTAAATTTGTCTTGTGCTCATGTAAAATAGGAAGTGGTGGGATTCTTATAATTTGAAGCCATTTGTGTTTTGGCAGTTAAAAATACTAAAACAGAAACTGTCCATGCAGAATGAACCTGCACTTGTAATTACAATTTCTCCCTGAATACTCAGGGCTGTGCAATTAGGTGAGGAATTATATGCTTAAAGGACCACTTGGACACTTTATGGCCAAATAAAAACATAACTATTCAAAAGTACAGGTGCATATATGTTTGCTTAAAAAGAAACAACAAACAATTATCGGATCCCCACAGGAACATTTGTTCCCTTCCTCAGGAAATAAGAGGACTGACTTGTGCTGAAGAAGGGTTTTTATCCTTGCTGCATGAAACCTTACCAGGATTGTTTTCCAGTTACTCTTTTGAGCAACAGCACAAGTTCAGGGATGGATTAATCTGAAACTTTACTTGTAGCTCCCTGAAATACATCCCCAGTTTACTCTATTTTGCAGCCAGTTTTGCTGAGACACAGAAATGCAGAGAACTTTGACACTTGGTTTAGCTTCTTTCCCCCCAGAAGTCCATTAGCGAACACTTGCTGTTCTTAAGAGTTTGTGACACATATGAAATGTAGAACCCACATTTCTCCAGAGTCAGTTAATGAACTGAGTGTGCATTTTGTCTGCTGGACTCTGTCCCTGAGATTTCCAATTCCTTTTGCTTAATTTCTGTGTTCTGAAAGTTTTTAAACTGTCAGCAAAGATGCTTTAACAGTCTTCACATTGTGGCAGGAACGGAACCCTACTTTCATTAAGGGGTGGAAAGGGATGCCAGTTGCATTCTTTTTCCTCAGATCCCACAGGAGGAGATATAAGTGAGCAAAAGCTACTACTGCAAAAAAAAAGAGAACAGGTGAGATACGAACCCACTGAAAAAAAATCAGAAGAGATTTAGTCATCTATGCAGAACACATACAGCACCTAATTAAATCAGGTTTCATTGACATTAAAATAAACAGCCTGAATTAATGAATGCAGTTTGTGAGGAACACTCAGCTCCCATTGTGCAGGCAGACTTTACACGAGGCGTTTTTGATAAGACATTTTGGGGGGCAGAAGCTGTCACTGCGTGTTTGTACCGTGGAGAAGGGCAGAGTACAGGACAGAGATCTCTGCTCTGGCACCTGGATGTGTCCCAGCTCCTCTGCTCCTGCTGGGTGACCTTTGGCAAGACACATCTCATTTCTGACAGCCTCTGAAAGCATTCTGTAGTCTCCTCAGGAGTAGCAATATTTAGGAACAAAACATCATTGTCCCAGGAATGTGTGATTTGCGTGCTGCTTTATTCCACAGGATGGGGCTTAAACAAAATTGATGGGAAATGCTGGCTTGTGCTGGATCTCTGCACAGGAGTGAATCTTACCCAAGATCAATAGAGTCATTCCCCAGCCCCATGGGTTTTATGAGTGCCACAGCTTAAAGGAATCAGGTCCTTCCCCAGCAAAAGCACTATGCCTCTGCCATAATTGCTAAGCTTGGGAATTGGATAAATACGAAATTCTGGGTTTCCAGTGTTTTCCATTTCTTTGTGACCATTAATGAAATTACAGCCCTGCTAATAACAATGTGACATCCTGGCCATGGGAAAGGTATGTGGGAAATGTCAGAAATGCAAGTTTGGGTGAAAAAGGTGCAAGTCCTCACATGTTGTTATCCTGCTGACTTCATCAAGGTTATACAGTGTTTTCAGGAATGCATGGGAAGTGGTATTTTCAAGTTGTTATTTTGATTTTCCATAAGATTTGGCCACCTCTGATGGGCTGGGGGAGTCCAGCACCTCTTCGGCAGAGACTGGTGGAAACAGCAACTACAACAGTGAGTGGCTTCCAAAAAATCCAATGGCTCCTGTAGCATGGTGAGAGCTGAGGGAGCTGCTGCCAGCCTGTCCCTGGGCATGGTTTCTCTCTTGAAAGGCACATAGCCCTCTGGACCCCAAACCTCAGGGATGCTGAGGCAGAAACTCAAGGGAATTGAGTAGCTTCATGCAGTGTTTCAGTTAACTGGGTCGGATTTTTAAATTCCTCCCAAACCTGTGCTTTAGGCAGCTGGATGGATGCAATTTATAGTTCCATGGCCTTGAATGCTGCACGTTGTACCACAGGCCTGTCTGGTGCTCACCTCCAAAACACCCACTGGAGACACGAGACTCCTTCTGCTTCTCCCTTCATATGGTACTCTGAGGTTAAAGAGGTGTTAAAGTTTCTTCTGATCACTAAAGACCTCATGAGTTTTACATTAAACCAGCTCTAGGTCAGTATGTCCTGGCCACATTTCCACTGGGATAAATCACAGGGCACAGGATTGGATGTTCTGGTTCATTTTATGCTTCATCCCCTTCATTCTGTTGTCAGTCTGAGGACCAAATCTTCTGGCATCAGCTGCCTATGGTAGAACTGCATCCACTTCTACCCAGAACCACTTTGATCTCGTTTCATTATGCAAAGCATCTACTGGGAGCACTCAGAGCAGGCAGGAAAAGAGAGCCTCAACTGTGTCGGTGTTTGCTCCTTTAATATATTTTGGGATGTGTGTGGGTTTATTTACAAAGCACGTGTAGTTAAATGTCATTGAAAAATATAATTAAAAATCAATTAGAGACCATTCTAAAAACAAGAGGTTGTAAAAATGGAATTTACAATAATAACCAGACTAAGCATTTGGCATTTACATGTCTGCACCAAATAGCAATTCCCTTGTTAGTTGTGCTTGAGTGACAAGGTATTCGCTTATCTCCTGGATATAAATTCCAATATTCTTGTTATTGCTGGAACAAATAAATACCTGCATAAAGACTTCTTGCACTGCCAAGTAACACCAACTGATTAAATTCAGACAAATGTTTTTTTGTTCTTGTCTGGGCGCAGTGCCAAAATTATCCCATTGTATGAAGGGCCAGATTTTGCACTCAGTTTATGCTCAGTTAATGCAAGGTAAATACTGTGCTACCAATACAAATCTAAGCACAGAGAGACATTCTGAAATGTTGTAATTTCCTACATAAAACCCGAACATGCAGAACACATAGAAGCAAAAATGGAAGAGTATTTGGCCTGTAACATAACATGGTGGTGAAGGCGATGGCTGTGACTAGAACTCTCCAAGGGGGAGGACATGAGTTGTGCTTGGAGCCTGTGAGGTACAGAAGTCCCTGTGACACATTTTGGCTTCCAGAGAAAGAACTGGCAATGTCTCCATAAATCCACTGGAATGCCTATATGTGCATGTGGAACTCATGCCTGCACACTCTGGATCTGGCTTTAAATGGTAAGAGCTCAAGGACTGTCTTGCTGTGGGATCAAATATCCCAGATTTATAACCAAGCCTGAAGTCTTTTTCTTTGTTAATACTCATCGCCTTCCTCTCCCATCTTCATGTGAACAGCTGGGGGTATTCCTGAGGTTCTTTAAAATAGGTGGAAATTAAGTATCTAAAAAGCATTTTTATCATCATGAGCCCATAGGAAACACTGGAATCAGTGATAATGTCCATCTGTGATGGTTCCATGTTGAAGGGGATGGGGCAGGATTACCCTTGGGAAGTTCTCTGCCTGTGCCTGTGTGCACATCCCTTCTTTTCCTGGCAATACTGAGGTGAGTGGTTGGCTCTTCTTGAGGTTTGGAGTCATCCTGGAGGGCAGGGAATTGTGCTAGAGAGCAAAGTGACTCTGTGGAGTAGCTGGAAGGTTGGTGGTAGTTGCTGCACTGGGCCATTTCTCTCAGGTGATGGATTAAAGAGATCTGTGAAACATCCCACACCCTCCTGTTTGATTCTGTGCTGATTGGGTTCTCTCCTGTGCCTGGCTGTGGCTTCTACAATTTAGCTCTCATTCCTCATTACATGCACAGACCAAAATGAATCAAAACCCTCTTGAAAATCTGACATTGCAGCCCTTTAGAATTTGGATGACATGGAGAGTCTGTTTCTCTTATTTATGACTAATCAGAGGTTTCATATGTGCCACCCCATGCTCTCATCAGTTCAAGATGCAGAAATCAGCCCCTTTCTTTTACCATTTCATCCTTCTTTGTCTCTGAAGATCTCCATTAAAATCTTACTGTAATACTCAATCTGCATTTTTTCCCAGTTTTCAGATCCACGGATACTGCAATAACACACACTTGTTTTATGAGGAGGGCTTCCTGCAAGTATTTTATTCCATTTTAAGGATTTCTTCCCTCATTTTTTCATCCCACAACTCAGACCATTCGCAGAGGTTGTTGCCTGTGCCATCCCTGCACCTCTCCCAGCAGGCAGCACCCTGGTGCATCCCTCTCCAGACATCTTCCCTCTGATCCAGGCAATTTGTGCTCAGACTTGGATGGAATATGGGTTTTTTGTGTTCGCATATGAACATCTGCTTCAAATTCCCAAGCCAAGAAAGACAAGAAGCAAATTAAACTATTTGTTCTTCTTTCTGTCTCTTTAATATCAAAGTCATTCCTTACATGCTCCTTAAGCTTCCACTTTTGATTAGGAGATATTAAAAATGGATCTAAACAACTCACATCTTAATCATATTCCTTTGTGAGCAGGGTAAGAGTGAGGGGAGCAGGGGGGAGAAGCCAAAGCTGCTTTGCTGCTCATGCTCAGTATCCAACCCGTATCCAACACTTCATGCCCTGCCCTGGGAGCAGAGGGGTGTCCCTGTCCCTCCTGAGCTGCCCTGGGCAGAGCACGAGGCCTCTGGAACATCCTGCAGCTTCAAATCAATCTCTGCCTGCGCTGGAGCAGCCTGGGAACAATTCCCTGCTGCTCTCGGAGACCTGGAAAAGGGAGTTGGGAGGATGACTCAGACATTCCTTCTTCCCCCTGGGCTTTCTTGCAGTGCCAGCCCAGCAGCCAAGTCGCTCTTCTGGGTGCCTTGGTTGCAAGTTCTCAGAAATCTCTTTAAGAAAACTCTATAAAATGTCCTTTAAGAAAAACCAAAGAGAAACTTGAATGTTTTTCACAATCCTGTGCAGATTTTGGAAAAGATGTCATCCACTTCAGGAGGAAAACCAAGAAGTTATGGTGCTATTTGGAGGCAATCAATGAAAAATCAAAATAATAAAATAAGGTTTAGCATTTCACAAGAAATTGTTCATTCTACACAAACCTGATTTCATTCTATGGTGGAATCACAGATTTAGTTGCAAGTTCTATTAGAGTAGCTGTGCAAATAAAATAAATTTTTTTGACATGTTTGATTCAGTACTGAAGGATATTCTGATTAAAAAATCAGCACCATACAATTATCAACAACATGTATTAATAATTGAATAAAACCTAAATGACAAATCTCAAAAAGCAGCTGTCAATGTGGAATAAACATCAAATGTATTTCTGGTGGGTTTCTGCTATTTCACATACTCCTATAAATATTTACATTACTGATATAGGAGTAAATATGGAATCACTGCAGCAAAAAATTGTGAATGACAGAAGAACTAGCAGAGTGGTGAGTGCTGATGGGCACAGTGTTCACACAGAGCCATCTAAACCAGCTGACAAATTATTTTAGCATTTCTAGAGGAAGGCTGGAATTTATCTCCATATCCCATGGCAGGGGGTTGGAAGGAGACAATGTTTAAGGTCCCTGTGAACCCAAACCATTCTGTCCTTTCCAGCTCAAGCCTTTCTTTAGTTTCTGGGATTCTCTTATTCCGTGCAGGGAGTTGTGCTTTTTTCCCGTAGGCACTGAAGGCTCTGGGAACCGAAAGATCTGCCTGTCAGTCAGGAGATGACAGAGTTTGCCAAGCAAAGGAGCCAAGGAAAGGAGCTTTGTCCTTGGGCCAGGTGATTTTCTGCCCCCGAGGTTAACTGGAAATTCCATATCCCTGGCACCCAGCGCTCCCACCCTCCGGGCGCTGCCCGGGCTCCTGCCGGGATGGCAGCGGAGCAGCGCTGGGGCAGCCCCAGCGGAGCCTGCCCCGTTCCCCGGCAGCTCTGCCGCTGTAGCTGAGCTAATGAGGAGGAGGAGGAGGCAGGAGGGATGATGAGAGCAGCGCTCCGCAGCGCTGAGCTCCGGGCGGACACGCGAGGAACAGCAAATGCGATCCCTTTTCTGCTGATGAGGCAGCTCAGAGGTGAGAGGGCAGCATGAGAGGAGCCTCAAATGCTTGAAGACCTGAGAAGTGCAAAAGGGAGCCCTGGGTTATTTCCAGAAATAAAAAGAATCGGCACCTCATTTCCATATGTCTGAATTCAGTTCAGTGTTTTGGTTTTAACAGAGTCATCTTAGGTCAGTGGGAAGATTTCGATTTATTTAGTGAGGTTTATACTGGGCTTTGCAGCCCTGCTTGCCACAAACCCTTCCCTTTCCCTGAGGAATGGAGACCTTCATCCTTCAGGGACACGTAACTCTGAGGATTTTTTATACTTCTCCTTGTGCCAGCTCAAACTTTATGGATAAGTTAAGAGCTGCTCTTTCTTGTGCTCTCAGTTGGCCATCTGTCACTGACACTAAAAACCCTTGGAACAGAAATATTACAAAGCTTTGGGAAAGATCTCACCATGCCCTTAAAGGGGTGTGAGGTTTAGTGGGCAGCTGTAGAAATGGCTTTGCTTTATGGACTTCACACGCTATAAAAAGGCAACTCACTACCCACAGCCTTAATTAGAGTGCTCTGGACTCTTAAGGGGGATGTGGGAGCTATGTCCAAGCCAGACAGAAATCAGCCAGTGTGACTCTTATCTAGGATGCAATTTTGGGAATAAAGTCTCTCAATTTAGACATTGTATTCAAAAAAAACCATCTACTTGCAGTAAAGTATCAAAACAAGACATTTAGAGTCTCACACACAGCTCATACCTTTTCTGAATAGTGCAGATCTGGG